AGATGCTGGACGCCCCTGGGTCCACCCTTTCGTCGACTTGACGCGGTTGACTTCGGGGGCCCTCTCTCCCCCTCGGGCACGGACAGGGCGCGGGGCGGGCGGGGAGCTCGCCCTGAAGAAGACAACAAGCCACGGGGGACAGATGCTGGACGCCCCTGGGCCCCCCTCCATCGCCTTGGCGCGGTTGACTTCGGGGGCCCTCTCTCCCCCTCGGGCACGGACAGGGCGCGGGGCGGGCGGGGAGCGCACCCCCGAGAAAGCAAGCCGCGGGGGACTAGATGCTGGACGCCCCCCCTTCATCGACTTCACGCGGCGGCCCCCCCACTGAAGACAACGAGCGACGGGGGACAGATGCTCGACGCCTCCTCGCCCCCCCTCCGTCGCCTTGGCGCGGTTGACTTCTAGGGGGCCCTCTCCCCCTCGGGCGCGGGCCCGGGCGCGGGGCGCGCGGGGAGAGCTCACCCCCGAGAGGAAGCAGGCCACGGGGGACGGCTGCCGGGCCGCCTCCTGGCCTCCCCCGGAGAGGCCCAATCCCGAGGCAGGGAGCGGGCCCGGCCACAGCGAGAAGGACCATCTCTGGGGGCCACGGAGCTCTCGGGGCCCAGGGGGAGGCCCGGAGCGAAGGACCAGGCCGCCATCGGGGCCCTCCTATAGGCTCGGCAACGAGTAGGGCTCCGCTGGGGGCCACGGAGAACGGGTCCCAGGGAGAGGCCTGGCCCGGAGCGAAGGGCCGGGCTTCCATCGAGACCCTCCTGACACGGAGGGCAAGGCTTAGGTCGGGCACGCCCTTCTACGGGAGGGTGTTGGGCGAAAGATAAAACACATAGTAGATAAAAACATGTTCTGGAATGCTGCAGAGAAAACGAGGAACATCGTCCCTAGATCATTTTTACCATGTTTGAATATTCCTCCTGTAGAGGGACGTGCCCGACTTAAGGCAAGGCAGAGAAGGGGGGTAGAGACAGGCGCAGGGAGGCCCCCCCTGGCAACGAGGCGGGAGGAGCTAGACGAGCGCGTGCCATTACTCGCAAAGCAACTACTCTCAAGTGGTCTGTATCCGCCGCGGGGGACTTGCAATAACTTGCGCAAAGGCAGACGCCTGGTTTTTCTGGCGTTTGCGAGTAGGCACTTTGGCGAGTCGTGGAACGCGCTCGGCGAGACGCGAGAGGTACAGGGAGAGGGGGAGGAGGAGGCGGCGGCGGCGAGTAGGAGGAAGAGTAGGAGGAGGAGGGGGAGGAGGAGGAGGAGGAGGAGGAGGAGGAGGAGGAGGAGGAGGAGAGGAGGAGAGGAGGAGTAAGGAGGAGGAGGAGGAGGAGGAGGAGGAGGAGGAGGAGAGGAGGAGGGAGGAGGAGGAGGAGGGGGGAGGAGGACGAGGACCTATCGCAGCCTCCTCGTCGGCCAGAGGGGCAGGGCCTGCGCAGGGTCGCTGCCGCGCGAGGCTCGCGCGGTGCAGGGGGCCCAGAGCAGGAGGAGAGGAGCGGAGAGGAGGCGCGCGGGATGCCGGGGGGGGGGAGGGGGGGAAGGGGAGGGGGCCGATCAGCAGGAGCGAATCAGTGCGCCCACGGACAGGGAGAACGTCGCCACACCCGGCGGGAGCGCGAGCATCCGGAGGAGGCGCATCCGCCGGATATCGGGGATGGGTGCTGCAGAAGCTGCTCCCGCATCTGCTGAGAAGAGCGAGGGCAAGGGAGGCATACATGTATACCCGGCACCCACGCCCGTATCCCCTCGAACTGGCGATGGCCTTGGAGAAAGAGGAGGAGGAGGAGGAGGAGGAGGAGGAGGAGGAGGAGGAGGAGGAGGAGGAGGAGGAGGAGGACGAGGAGGAGGAGGAGGAGGAGGAGGAGGAGGAGGAGGAGGAGGAGAGATTGAGGGTGAGACAACGGAACATAATGAGGAGTCGTGTGAGCATTCAAAAAGCCACGCAACAAACCAGGAGGATGAGAAGGAAGAACGGAAGGATCCCAGGAAAACACCCTCATAGCAGCAAGGCACGGCCGTGTGTAGTTTTTGTGCCTCTGCTGCCAAACAAATGTGGCCGCCCAGAGCAGACATCTAGCCTTAGGTCGGGCATGTCCCCCTACAGGGGGATTCAGGACGAAAAGAAAAATAGTCAAACTAATACTCCCAAATGATCCAAAAATGACCCACACATCGCCCCCTGACTATGTGTTGTCTATCTTGGCATATCCCTCCTGTAGAGGGGCAGGCCCGACTCAAATCTGGCCAAAAATACCCCCAAACGGTCCACAAATGACCCCCAAATCGTCTCCTGGCTACTGTTGCTGACTATTTTTGCAGATCCCTCCTGTAGAGGGACAGGCCTGACTGAAATCTGGCCAGTGTGAAGGCGAGGACAAGATGCCCGAATGCAGCGCGAGACTGCCTCGACCCGCACGGCTGGCGGGACCCAGGCGCTCTCGGGCTCCCCGCCCCCCCCCCCCCCCCTCGGGACCTGCCGTGCGGCCCTTGCTTCAGGTCGGGCACGCCCCTCTACAGGCGAATTTCTGAAGAAAAATCACAAATACTCCAGATTTCGTAATAAAGGGAGGGGGGTCTCATTTCGGGGGGGGGTCTCTTCCAGGCTATCTTGGAAGGCCTGGGGGGTCTGGGGACGATGTTTTCGAGGGTTCTCCCACGGGGGAGGTCTGAAATGGCTTGTCTTGGAGGGTCCAGACCCCCTCCCTTTTATCACGAAATCTGGAGTACCCCCAAAATAATGGAAAAAACACAGAAGGTTCGAAACATGAAAACATGTTCAAAATATTCAGAGCGGGTGCAACATTCCTATAAAAAACAACGTCCCCCTACGACTTGTGTATTTTTAACGCCTCCTGTAGAGGGACGCGCCCGACGTAACCCTTGCTTCTGCCACTGCTGGAACCCCCAAGCGCAGCGCCACCACGGACGCGCGCACATCGAGCACCGAGGCAGGAGCCGGCGCGGCGGGGAGGACGCCGGGGCGGCGGCGGCGGGAAGAGGGGAGCGAGGAGAGCTCAAAAGTCTCGGTCCCTCAGAAAGTCTCGAAGTCTTTGGGGGGCCACATGCGAGCCCTACTCCTACCCCCCTACGATTTCTGAGGGGGAGGGTGGGGTCCACCTCGCTCGGGAGCTCCCGAACGAAGTGAACCCCACCCTCCCCCTCAGAAATCGTAAGGGGGGTATGGGGTAGGGTTCGCATGTGGCCCCCCAGTCTTGGTCCAGAAAGAGCGGCCCCCGGGATGAGTACCCCGGAGGCGCGCGCGCGCAACTTGTGACCGCGAGCGCGCCTAGGACTTGTGCTGCTGCCTCCAGATCTTCGCCAGCTCGAGGTCGATAGCGTCGAGCAGCTTCTTGGCGGCCGACTTCGCATCCTCGATGGCGCCTCGGACCTCCACACGGTTGACCCTCGGCTCTCTCAGGGCCGCAAGCGCCAGCTGCACCGCCTCGCCCTGGGCCTCGACGGACACCGCGGAGCTCGGCCCCCCCCACGCTTTGGCGACCCTCTCCCTTGCCGCCGTCGCAGCCAGCTTCCACCGCTCCGCCTTCTCCACGTCGCCGCCTGCCTGCACCAGGACGGTCTCGTTCTGCTGCAGGCGCTGCAGTTCGCTGATCTCCTCCTGCAGGTCCTGGATCTTCTCGTTCGCCGCGTCCACGACGGCCCGCCTGACAATTCCGGCTGGGGAGGAAGAGCAGCAGGAGAAGGGAACAGAGGAGTGCAGGTGTGCGCGAACGGGGTCCCAACACAATGATGCAAGGAGGTGGACAGAGAAGAGGAGAGAGAGCGTGCATGAAAGAGGGAGAGAGAGAGAGAGAGAGTGAAACAAAACACATATTGATAACGCGAGAGACGGCAACAGGGAGAAGAAGACAAACAGATATTCAGAGAGAGAGAGAGGGAGAGAGAGAGAGAGAGAGAGAACAAACAAAAAACAACAACAACAAAAACTGAGAAACAGAGAGCGCACCAATTCGGACAGGGGTGTTCTGTCCGGGCCCGAGGGGTACAAGAACCTGCTTGGCCCACCTCGCAGGGCGGGAGGGGCCGCATGATGTGGCAAGGGTGGCAAAACATGCACATCCCCCCTAACGGAAAAGCTGCAGCGGGAAGTAGCGAGAAGCACGACACTCGCCTTAGGTCGGGCATGTCCTCCTACAGGCGGATATGGGGCGAAAAGACAAACCCTAAACACATATTCAAACATGATTTTGAAAAATAACCGAACAATCGTTCCCGAGACTATTTTTTCACTAGTTTTGAACCTTCCTCCTGTAGAGTTAGGTCGGGCGTGTCCTCCTACAGGATAATTTTGGACGACAAATGAAAACAAACGCATGTTACAAAAAGCTCAAACATAGTCGAACATAGAGACAACATGCCGTCCCCATACCATTTCTTCCCTATGTTTGAGCATTCCTCCTGTAGAGGGAGGGGCCCGCCCGACGTAAGACTGGCCCCCTTCGGCACCCCCGGAGAAAAACAAGCGGCACCTTGGCGCGCGCGCGCCACGAAGCCCGCGGAGAGGCTCTTGCAGGGGAAAAAAATCCCCCTCGGCCCAGGCCTGCTGAGGAGGAGGAGGAGGAGGAGGAGGAGGAGGAGGAGGAGGAGGAGAAGGAGGAGGAGGAGGAGGAGGAGGAGGAGGAGGAGGAGGAGGGGGGAGGAGGAGGGAGGAGGAGGGGGAGGGGGAGGAGGAGAAGGAGGGGGAGGGAGGAGGAGGAGGAGGAGGAGGGGGGGAGGAGGAGGAGGAGGAGGAGGAGGAGGAGGAGGAGGAGAGGAGGAGGAGGAGGAGGAGGAGGAGGAGGAGGAGGAGGAGGAGGAGGAGGAGGAGGAGGAGGAGGAGGAGGGGGAGGGGGGAGGAGGAGGAGGAGGAGGAGGAGGAGGAGGAGGAGGAGGAGGAGGAGGAGGAGGAGGAGAAGAGGAGGAGGAGGAGGGAGGAGGAGGAGGAGGAGGAGGAGGAGGAGGAGGAGGAGGAGGAGGAGGAGGAGGAGGAGGAGGAGGAGGAGGAGGAGGGAGAGGAGGAGGAGGAGGAGGAGGAGGAGGAGGAGGAGGAGGAGGAGGAGGAGGAGGAGGAGGAGGAGAGTCCGCGGAGCGTACTGCCCGATGCTCGCGAAACGTGCGGCACGGCGGGGCGACCGCAGGTGCCAACGGGCCCTCCCCAAGGGGGGGGGCGGGTCCTCCCCGCGCGAGCCGATGGGCTACAAGACCCGAGAGCCAGCGGCCGCGCAATCCAACGGCCGCCCCCGGCCTCTGCCCGGCCTCCACCCCTGGCGGCACCCGGGAGGCTCCGCCAGCGAGGGGGCCGGGCAGGAGCAGGGGAGGCGCGGGATCCCTGCCAAGCCTCGGCGCACGAGGGAGCAGTCCCCGAGGGGGCCGAGGGCTGAACAAGAAGGCAGGCAGACCTCGGTGTGCAGGAAGGCCGTGCCCCGGGTCGCAGCCTGCACACGGAGCGCAGCGGGGGCCCTCACACGACGACGCAGGCCCTCTCCAGCAGCGGCTGGTCCCGGCCCTGCGCGGGCAGTGCGGGAGGGGCAGACGGGGGCCGGCAATGGCAGACGGTGGTCGCGGCAGCGGCGCGGGGAGGCAGCATGGAGCACGGGGCCGGTCCCCCTCCAGCATGCAGGAAGCCATCGGTCCGTGGACAGGCGGCGTCGTAGTAACTGCAGGGTCGAGCGGAGACGTCGTCGTGGTGCGTCGTGCCCCAGCGGTGGTTGGAGGCGTCAGTGGGCCAAGACAGGCGGTGATGGGCGACGTCTGCTCCATTGATGAGGCGTCGAGAGAAGGCGGGCACGATCGTCACGCCCGTGGCGCCACGGTCGGCGCCGAGAGTGTCGTCAAGGCAGACAATCAGGGCGCAACAAAGGCCGCTCGCTGGAGTCCGTCGCGTGGCCCCCGGCCAGGCACGCGGCAAGGAGCGCACTGCTCGCGCGCGCGCCGCTTAAGGCCCTGGCCCGCTGCGACGTATCGGCCCAGGGAGGGGCCTTCTGCCGCAGCAGCCCCCCGGGGTCCGAGGGCGGAGCGGCGCTCGGCCACCGGCGTGGCGCGGGGCAGGCGGGCAGGCGCGCAGAGGGAGGCTGCGCGGCGGCCCAGCGGGGGCGGCGGTCGTCGGGGGCCGTTGGGCGGCCGTGCGGGGGAGCAGGCGTGGCGCACGGCGGCGCGGTGGGGTGGCGTCGGCATGTGGCTGCCTGGTCGTTGAGCTGGCGCGTCGGTCGGTCGACGTGTGTTCGTCGGCCGTCGGCGGCGCGCTGTCGTCAGGCGGCCGTGGGGCAGTCGTCGGACGGGCGGCGGACAGGCGTAGTCCATCGTCGGAGGCTGGTCTGCCGGCTGCCGGCGGGGCGCCGAAGGGCTTTTCCTCGCTCGGGGAGGCAGCTGCCAAGCTGTACTCGCGCAGGTGGGCATTGCTGCCGTAGGTCAGCTGGACCACACAGCACTGGTTGTGTTTCCTGGTTCGGCCGCCGACGATGCCGTGGTGGTACCCGTTACCGCCGTTCCCTCGCGGATGGAATGGAGGCACGGGAGGGGCGAGGCAAGTCTCGGCAGCCAGTGCATCGGCCTCCTCGGCCGAGGCGTTGGCTGCAGTGGGCCTTTGTTGGCCCGACGCAGTGGGCCATGGTGCTGGTATTTTGGGCGCCGGAGTTATCCGGGGTAACTCGGGTCCGGGGTAACTCGGGTTTGGAGTCCCGAAAAAGGAACCCGAGTTACCCCTGACCCGAGTTACCCCTGATGATGTGGGGCTCTGGACGCCCGAATTATCCGGGGTAACTCGGGTCCGGGGTAACTCGGGTTCGGATTCCCGAAAAACGAACCGAGTTTACCCTGACCCGAGTTACCCCGGATGATTCGGGGGGGCTCTGAGTATTGTCGCTAGCGGCGACGAGCGGTGGTGCGCAGAAGGATATGCCAAGGCAAGGCCGAAGGGTCGGTGCCCGCTTTCTGCGTGCGGCGCTCGGTGCACCCGCAGCGGCGAGCCTGGCGGCTGCTGCGGGTGCCTGTGCGTGACCCCGAGCGCGGGGTGTCCTCCTCCCTTCCTCTCCTCCTCCTCCTCCTCCTCCTCCTCCTCTCCGCCTCCTCCTCCTTCTCCTTCCCCTCCGCCTCTCCTCCGCCTCCTCCTCCTCCTCCCTCCCTCCTCTCCTCCTCCTCTCCTCTCCTTCCCTCCTCTTCCTCCTCTCCTCCTCCTCCTCCTCACCCTCCGTCTTCCTCCTCTCTTCATCCCTCCCTCCCTGCCGCCCCCTCGCTGGCGGAGCCTCCCGGGTGCCGCCAGGGGGTGGAGGCCGGGCAGAGGCCGGGGGCGGCCGTTGGATTGCGCGGCCGCTGGCTCTCGGGTCTTGTAGCCATCGGCTCGCGCGGGGAGGACCCGCCCCCCCCTTGGGGAGGGCCCGTTGGCACCTGCGGTCGCCCCGCCGTGCCGCACGTTTCGCGAGCATCGGGCAGTTACGCTCCGGGGAATCTCCTTCCTCCTCCTCCTCCTCCTCCTCCTCCTCCTCCTCCTCCTCCTCCTCCTCCTCCTCCTCCTCCTCCTGCTCCTCCTCCTCCTGGGGGACCTCGGTGGTGACGCTCGTCGGAGGTGCTCTCAGGGATGCTCGGCAGTGTCTCCGAGGTGGTGCTCCAGCTCAGCTGCCCCGATACGCAACACGCAACACGTATCGTATTGATACGGAGCTCGACACGTACACTGAAAACCTAGGTCTGACGCGATACGTTCACCAAAACGTGGGCCAATACGCTGAGCCAACACGCAACGTATTGACACGGACGTCTTGAGCACGGGACGTGATGCGTTTCAGAACGGGCGTATCGAGGCAACTAAGTGCTCCAGTGATCGGCATGAAACGATCAGGCAGCTTGCGTGCTTGCTTGGAAATGGCTCCAGGCGTTGCGCAGCAACTCCAGCGTGTGACTGGGGAAAGGCGGAGGCGGGCCGTGGTGGCTGCGATTTGCCTGCCTGTCTGGTCTGGCCCTGACACCTAACACCTTAACACCTGAACGCCATAACTAGGACCTTCACTCCTTAACTGCATAAAGAAATACTGGAGGATAGGGGAGGGGGGAGGGGCGGTTCAGGGTGTGTGTATGGCGTCTGCTTCCATGAGTAAAAGCAAGCGTTGGCGAGTGGGTAGCAGGCGGTCGTCGATCGTGGCCGTCAAAGCCGGAGAGTCGACAGTCGGTCAGCGGCCGTCGCTCTGGCGGTCGGCGGACGGTCATCGTTGGGTAGCAGACGGCCGGCGGACGGTCGGCGGGCGGTCGGCAGTCGGGCTGGCGTCGCCTGGCTCGTCGTTCCACGGTCGGCGGACGGTCGTCGGACGTCGTGGGGCCCGCTGGAGTTCGCAGGATCCTCGATCAAGCGACTGGGAGGGGCATGCGTGGGCCTGGTGCCCCCATCTGATGCTGCAGCGTGGGCCTGGTGGCCCACATGGCTGGCGGTCCTGGGAGCCGGCGGACGCTCAGAGGGAGGGTCGCCACGGACTGCGCCGTGGCCGACACCACGGAGACCTGAGAGCTGGCGGACGCTCAGAAGGAGGGTCACTACGGACTGCGCCGTGGCCGACATCACGGAGACTGGCTGGAGCGCTGGCCTGGTGCCAACGCTGAGCGGCCCCAGTGGGGGTCGTCCGACACCCGGCGGGAGCGTCGCAATGAGCAACGGCGGATGGGCTGGCTGCAGCGTGGGCCTGGTGGCCTCCGTGGCTGGTGCTTTTGAAAGCCGGCGGACGCTCAGAGGGAGGGTCGCCACTGACTGCGCCGTGGGCGACGTCACGGAGCCTTGCCGGAGCGTTGGCCTGGTGGCAACACGGAGCTGGCGTGGGTCATCACTTGGAGCCTGCGCGGTCTCCCCCGGGGCTGTAGGCGACCAGAGGAGGACCTAGGAGGAGGAGGAGGAGGAGGGAGGGATGAGGAGGAGGAGGAGGAGGAGGAGGAGAGGAGGAGGAGGCGGAGGGGGTGGAGGGGGAGATGGGGGAGGGGGAGGGGAGGGGGAGGAGGGGGAGGAGGAGGAAGAGGAGGTGGAGGAGGAGGACGAGGAGGAGGAGATGGAGGAGGAGGAGGAGGAGGAGGTGGGAGGAGGGGAGGAGGAAGAGGGAGGAGGGAGGAGGAGGAGGAGGAGGTGTTGGCCTGGAACGTGCCAGTGGGGGGGTTCGAACACTCGGCGGGGAGGGCCGCAGTGAACCACGGCGAACGGGCTGGCCGCAGCAGGGGCCAGCCGGTGGGGGGGGGGGGGCGCAGCCGGCCTGCCCATATGCGGACGGACGGGGGGCCGCCAGGGGGTCTGCGGCCCCGTGGCCGCGCGCTGGCCTCCAGGGGCCCGGGCCCAGGCCAGAGAGGTCCTCCTCCTCCTCCTCCTCCTCCTCCTCCTCCTCCTCCTCCTCCTCCTCCTCGGAGAAACAGAAAGCTGTGGGTGCCATGCCAAGGTTCACCCCAACAATCCGATCACTGAATCAGACGTGCGTGGAACATGTCAGAAGCATGGTCTGCAAAGCATTAGAGCCTGTGTGTGTTTTCTTGCCGCACGCTTGAGACACTTAAGAAATAAATGTCTGGAAATGATTTGACAACATGCTTCCTCTCCATTGATCGTCGTCCACCAACAGAAAATGAGAGAGAGAGAGAGAGAGAGCATGTGTGTGCGTGTGTGTAGGCGACAGAAGGGAAGAGAGGAGAGGGGGGGGGCAAGGCCAGCCGTCGCCGTGCCACGCCCGAGGGCCAGGAAGGAGGGGGGGCAGGCACGGCCGGGCGGACCATCCTCCCCCCGCGCAGGAGCGACAAGCGCAGACATGCGACCCAGACCTCCAACGCATTGGAAAAATCAGGACGGAGGTTTTCCTCGATGTTCGGCCTCTAGCGGCCCTCGCCGGGCCCCAGGACCGTCAAAAAACGACTCAGGATGAAAAACAGGTCCTTGGGAATGGGTCGAGACTTCCAGGGACCCCGCATTGAAAAAATCACGATATCGGATCTCTGGGGACGTCCTGATTTCTTCAGGACGGTGTCCCTGGAATTCCCGACCTCTTCCCCGGGGCCGGCTCTTCGTCCTGAATCGTTGTTTGACGGTCCCGAGGCCCGGCGAGGGCCCCCCCCGGGGGCCGAGAGTGACCACAGGCCTGCCGTCCTGATTATTTCACGGCGCGAGCATGTCTGGGAGCGCAGCAGCTGCCAAAACCAGCTATCGCGCGTCCCGCACGCTGCCTGGCGACCCTGCCAGCGGCCGGGGAAGAGAAAAGCTGAGGCTGCTCCTGGGCCGGCCCGCCCACCAGGGCGGCAGAACAGCAAGAGGCCGGAGAATCGGAGGAGAGCCGCGCGAGAGACAACCGGCGGTGCGACCACGGCGGCCCAGATGCACGGGACACTGGGGCCCCCGAGCCTCCTCCGGGTGCTAGGAGGCGCTGCACGTTGTGCCTGTTCTGTGGTCTGCGGCGTTTCGTCGTCTGTCGCCGTTTTGTCTCCGAGCTGGGCACAGCCGCGGCGACGGAGGACCCCCCCCCCTCCCGACGGCCAAAAAGGCGACCCCCGTCTCAACGCGCCCTCCTCCGAGGGGAGGCGGGCCCGCCTGGCGCTGTCCGCCATCCACTGCGGCACCTCCTCGCCCGCGGACCTCAGCTCCGCGGCCCTGCACGCGGCCCAGCGCTGGGCGCCCCTCTGGCCCTCCTCACGGGCGCGAGGAGAGGAGGGGAGGATGCGGGGAGGAGGGGGCGAGGAGGAGGAAAGGGAGAAAAGGGATGGAGAGGAGCAGCGGAGAGAGGAGGAGCAGCAGAAAGAGGAGGAGGAGGAGGAGATGGAAGAAGACGAGAGCCGGAAAGTGAGGGGGAGGAGGAAGATGATGAGGACGAGGCGGAGGCGAAGACGACAACGAGGAGCAGCGGGCTGCGGAGAGAAATTTTGACGAGGAGGAGGAGGGAGGCTCTCCTTCACCTTGTCGATGAGCCAGTCGGGCATCGGCTGCCCCGACGCCTTGCGCTTGTTCGCCACCTCGAGGGCCCAATTCGACCCCTGCGCCTGCTTGCCCTTGGCAACCAGCTCGCGCAGCCACTCGGGGATGGCCTCGTTCTTTGCAGTCAATTCCTCTCAGGGAAGACGCCACCGGTGCCACGATGGAGCGGCAAAGAGAAGTGACGGTATTGCAAGCAAGGGCACGGCGACGATGTGTGATGGCTTGCGGGGGCTGCCGAGTGCGGCGCGCTGCGTGGAAAAAAACAAAAACAAAAAAAAAAACGCCCGCGCGCGGCCTTCTCGTGGGCAACGCTCGCGCGCGAGCTCCCGCGCGGTCGACCCGCTCTGCTGCTGCGTGGCCCCAGGGTGGCCCCGGACTGCCGCCCCGCGCCCCTGGAGGTCATGGGCTGCGGAAAGCATACCCTGCGACGCCCCCTGAGGCGCGCTGCCCCGCGAAAAAAGCCAGGGGCTGCGCGCACACACACACACACACACACACACACACACACGAACACACACACACACACACGAACACACACACACACACGCGCGCGCACACACACACACACGCACACACACGCACACACACACACACACGCACACACACAACCACACACACACACACACACGCGCACGCACGGACGCACGCACACGCACACACACACACAGACACACACGCGCGCGCACACACGCACACACAACCACACACACACACGCGCACACCCACACACACCTGCATACACACACAGACACACACGCACACACACACACACACTCACGCACACACGCACGCACACGCACACACGCACGCACACGCACACACACACACACACGCACACACACACACACACACACGCACACACACACACACAAGCACGTCCTTTCACCTCCGACGCGCTGATGACGGCAGTCGGCGGGAAAAGACCAGGCAGGGAGCGTGAAGGCCCTATCTCGCCGCCTCGGTAATACGCGGCACACGGGCAGACCTGTCCAGGGTCCCGGCGCAGACCGAGCAAACGCAGACGTGCGCTGCCCCATACGCACGCACACACACACACAGACACACACACACACACACACACACACACACACACACACACACACGCCAGAGGCACGGTGAGGGCATCGGATGAGAAACACGGGACGAGAAATCCAGGGGCTTGAAGCAGGTGGTACTCCACTCGTGAACTGACTATGGACATCACCGCCAGCCTTATTCGATATAAGATCCTCCCGAGTCTGAAGCCCCCTGGGCACATCCTTTAACCCCAAAGGGTCTCTAACCCCTCCCCCAAGAATGGAGACAGCATAATCATGTTTGGCGCGGGCCTATCGTGAGATTGGAGACGCCCATTGCGTAGGACGACGAGGGGGAGGACGAGGAAGAAAAGGACTAGTTTCATGGCCAGCCGAGAGCCTAGAGGGGGGGCCGAGCAGCATGAAAGACCCTTGCGGGTTCATCAGCGCCCCCACCGCTGTCAAGGCCGTCCCCGGTAGCCCGAGGGAGCCCCGTCGCCTCAAACCCGGAGGTGGCGCGGCGAGGCCACGCGGGCTGCCGAGACCGCTCGAGACGAACTACCCGCGGGGCCTGCTCAGGCCAGCCGAGGCTCCCTCTGCAACCTTGTTTCGGCGGCGCGACTGGGGGGGAATGAGAGGGGGCGGGCCTTCTCAGAAGGCTCAGACGTCCTCCGACCGCAGAGACAGGAAACTTCTCAGACGGCTGGGGGGCTTGTGAGAAGCCCCGCCGCCTTCTGAGAAGGCCTCCTCCTTCTCACTTCTCCACCTCGCTGGACACCGATTTTTCCTCGCAACACATCACTGATGACCCTACCACATTGCGATTCAAAACGTCGCTAGGCCAAAACGTCGATAGGCCAAAACGTCGCTAGGCCGAACGGTCGTTAGGCCAAAATGTCGCTAGGCCAAGAGGTCTATATGCTGCGGAAGGCTGTCTCTGCAACGGCCCTCAAGCCCTGCCACGGCCCACCCCCCCGCCGAAGGACTTCTGCCCGATCGATCCTCGACCTCCTTTGTGGCCCACGCAAGCTTCCCCTCGGTCACGGCTTTCTCCTTCCGCTGCTCGGCAGTCAGCTCGTCGCCGCTCTTGCACCACTCTGGGGCATCGCGCGGCGCGGTGCCGTCGTCCTGAGGGGATAGGTGGCGACATCCGAACCCCACCCCGACCAACCATCGATTCTCCTGAATCGATGGGATGCGGGGGCAGTTAGGGTTCGGATTTCGCCGCGTGTTCGACGACTTCCGAACCCTGCCTCCGCCGCCCATTGAACTGCCTGAGTCGTGGATCGGCGAGGATGGGGTCCCTGATCTCGTCGTCGAGGGGGGTCGATGGGAGAGGACACGCCGGCCTGGAATCGATGATGCCTCGCGGACAAATCGGAGACGGCCTCCAGTGGCAAGACTGCGAGCTCCAGGGCAGGGGGGGCATCAGTCAGCCCACCGGACCGGCGAGGAACAGGCGATCGGGTTGGGCGCGCGCTCACGCGGATTACAATCCGGAATGTTTGCTCACTGACTACCTACCTGACCACCCCAACCGAACCCGAAGACCCGAAATTCGGGTTGGGGGGGGGACGGGCTTCATATGTTATTTTCAATGTTCCCCGACCCCCCCGACTTCGGGGCCTTCGGGTTTGGTTGTGGTGGTTCGGTGGGCGGTGACTCACGGAGGCTGGAGTGGGTGGGGGTAGCACAGGGGGGAGTAGGTGCAACACTACTTGCAGCAATTATTGCATGGAGGCAATAGCTTGCGGTCTGGACGCAAAAGTTGCGCGTGGGTGCAATCGTGTATTCGTTCAAACGCAACAGTTGACGCCCCGTGCAACAACTCATGTCCCCAGCAATAGTTCGCGCAAGGGTTCCCTCAATAGATCGCGCAAGTGAACCATTGCACCTCCCGCCGCCCCCCCATTGGCGTTGCCCCCATTGCTGCAGTCTAGAGTCGCTGCGGCGGCCTCGGCGACACGCTATGCCCTGCGAGAGGATAGCGTGTCGCTCTCCACTCCGCGGGGCGGGAGGCTCGGAAAGGCTCGGAACGTTGATCCCCGGGGGCTGAAGAAGTGGATAACGTGTCGCGCCGAAGCGTGGTGGGCCAGAGCCCGCGGAACGACACGCCATCCAAAAATTCCCGACCGCAGGGGTCCGTGGATATGGCGCGAGGGCGCCAGCTCCACGGGTCGGGGAAAGCCCCCTCCCGACACATGAGGCCAGTGCCGCCTCGTTTGGCGACCGGGGGCGCCGATCCTGCACGGGATCGGGTTCCGTCGCTCATCCTCGCGTCTCAATCCGTGCCTGCGCCTCTTTCTTTGAAGGGCCGATGGTTTCCCCCATCCCCCCCATTGGAGCCGCCCCCCCCCCCTCCCCGAGAAAACCCTGCAGGACTCTGGAAGTCTCCCTCGCCCGCCCCCCCCCCAATTTTCCGACATCGTCGACCCCGCGAGGCCTCGCCCCGTTGGGACCAGTTTTTCGCCCCGGGCTTGGTTCACGACGACCCCTGGAGCCCGAAGGTCGCCCGAAACCAAGCGAGGAGCGGGGACCGAAGGTCGGCGGTCGCCCCCCCCCCCGTGGAGCCATGCCCCCCGGTGTCTCCGAGGTTCTCTGGGGGTCCCCGGGAATCCCCGGAGGCTTCCTGGAAGCTTCAACGGGCCTCCGGGAGGCCTCCGGCGGCCCAAGCAATGTCCAACACATGTTTTCATGCTACACCCCGCGAAATGCTTAAGAAATCATGGGTTAAGAAATTCATAGTCTCAGAACTTGAATAAAAACCCAAAATGTCGATTCAAATCTTAGGATTTACATTAGAACATTAAGAATAATCGAGACTCTGGCCGAATTGTCTAAGGTGTAGCCACCGTGGGCCCCAGCTACGTTGTGGAATCTCTGTTGATCCATATCCGTGATTCGACCCATGTGATTCGATCTGTGCGGAGCAAGCTCCGTGGTGTACATTATGGTGTGAAATCAACCGATGCCCGCAGTGAGGTGTCAACTCCACTGTTCGCGCCATCATCCCAGCCACCTGCCCGCAACTTTGTTTGCAAAACTCATGCGACGGCGACTGCCATGAGTGCTTGGCGTTGGCTGGTGCATCCTTGCGGCCGCGCTAGCCCGCGCATGCGCGCGTGCACAGCGGCCAGCCACAGCGGCACAACCGACGCGGCCTCGGTGGCGTAATCCGCTGGGCACTGCCGAGCGGGCACTTCAGTGCGAGTCGATGACTTAGGCGGGCGCGGCAGTAAGACTCACAACATGAATCCTTTGAATAGCGCCGCAGAGGGATTCGATTGAAAAGCCTCACGACAGGACTCCTCTGGAAAACGCCACACAGAGATTCAATTGAAAAACCTCGCAACGAGGATCCTTTGGAAAGCGCCACAACTGGATTCTACGGGAAGTCCTCACAGGGCCGCAAAGGGCTTTTTACTGGAAACCATCACAACAGGAATCCCATGGTACTTACCACGAAGACATTCTATCATGGAGACGCCGACAACGGCAGACACGATGATGAAAGCAGCGATGGTGACGATGGTGGCGATGACGACGGCAAGGCCAATGAAGGCTGCGATATTGATCACGCCCGCCGATAACGATGACGATGTCGCCGCATTGGTGATGAAGGTTTTGGAAGGACTTCGGCATGCGCGCGCGGCCGACGCGCGCGAGTGGCCGCGTGGTATATTGGAAACGGATCATGCCCATCCAGCACGCGCGCATGGGCGTTCGGATGAGTTCGACATGCGGCGCGAGAGGCCCGTTTAGCATAAAAACGATAAGTTGCCAAAGACTGTGCAAGATCGCGCGCGCAGGCTTTATTATAAACAAGTGTTGCATCACCACGTGGTTGTTCATATGTTGCCTGGACACTCGCTTTTGAAATAATTACGAAACCTAAGGTTGTTGAGGGGTGTTAGCATGCGCGCGACGACGCGCGCGTGTACTCTTCATTTCATAGGCAGCCACATATTTGTGCGACAACACGCGCGCAATAACGTTCGAACGATTTCGACACTCGCGCGCGACAGGCCCGCTCGGCAGCATGTTATGAAACTGTTGCCAACCTACAATTATTTGGAGACCCTACAAGAGCGCGAGCGCGAATGAAATTTGTTGTCCGAAAACCGTTGTTGCGAAACCATGTGCGTGTGTGCGTACTACGTTTTCGTGACATTCGATTTTTGACCCCCCCACACGAAACATAACGTTATGTTTGAACCATTTCGACACACGCGCGCGCGCGACAACGCGCGCATGTGCACGTCGCCCCGCTTTTGGCAGCGGGTTTCTGGAAACTGGTGTTGTGTGATAAAGGAATGCGCGCGCATTGCGTCTGTTGCAGAGAAGGGGGGAGATGCCAGTTTAGCTGGGGTGCTTAATTCGGATGGACGATGGTGCAAAATCACACGTTAACTGAAATCCCCTCTGGGGAACCAATAAGTCGGGGGGGGGGGGGTAGACCCGAATATTTTTGAAAAGGTAACCGATGTGGTGCATGACGCGTTCTACAACCCATGCGGTGCGGTCTACGCTGTACACTCAGCGATGTGCAATATATGTGGTGCAAACTGCGTTGTGCAACCCATGCGGCGCAGTCTCTGTGCAACCCACGCCGTGCAATTCACCGTGCCGAAATCCACTACCCGCGCAACCATCCCACCCACCCACCCGCAGCATGGTTTACAAAACCCATGCGGCGGCGATTGGGAGGAGTGCTTGGCGTTGGCTGGCGCATCGCTGCGGCCGCGCCAGCTGGCTCGTGCAGCCTCGCGCGCCGCGCGGTCAGCTGGTCTGGCGAGGCCGATGCGGCCGCGGGGCGCTGACAGCTGGGGAATCCCCAGCGCGCCTCGCAGGCCGGGCCGACGCGCGGGCACTCCAGTGCGACTCGGTGGCTCGGGCGGGCGCGGTATCATGGCGATGTCGACAGCGGCAAACACGATGAAAACTGTAGCGATGGTGGTGACGACGTCGACGTTGACGACGGCAGGGCCAGGCCAATGACGGCAGCGATGCTGATCACACCGATGACGATGATGGTGCCGACGACTCGGTGATGAAGTTTGTGCAAAGATTTCGACATGCGCGCGCGGCCGACGGGCGCGAATGGCCCGCATGGTATTATTTGACAAGGGTCGTGCACCCCGGACAGCGCGCAGGGGCGTGAAATATTTCGGCATGCGAAAGCGAAAGGCCCGCTTGGTTCTTCATTGAATGAAGAAGACTGTTCATCAAAACTTAGGTTGATCAACCATGTGTGTACATGTGTTCGGGAACCTCGATCTTGAAACCCTCCCGACACCTACAGATTTGCAGGATTCCGGCATGCACGCGCGACGACGCGCGCGTGCGTACGCCGTCCCATGTTTCGCACGGGGCTCTTCCAAGCTGATCATGATTGATAATTGAATTGGCGCACATCACAATGAGAGGGAGGGGTCGATACTGGAATGGCTGGGACGGTATGAACTCGTCAACCGGATGAACGACGGGCCCGAATCATATGTAAACTGTACACCCCCAGGGGGTACCCATAGCCCCGGAGGGGAAGAGCCTCAAATCTCTGTTAGACAAGCAGAAACCACGTTGTGCAATCTAGGGCAAAGAAAAAAACGGCGACGGGGCGGCGACGGCGACAACTAAGCCGCCAGACCGCCAGACAGGGCCCAGACGACGGGCGGCGACGAGGCGACGGCGAGGCGGCGGGGCGGCCACGGCGACCACGGAACCTACAGACCGCCAGATAGGCCCACACGATGGGCGGCCAGGAAAGCGGCGACGGCGCGGCAACGGCGACCACGGAGCTGCCGGACCGCCAGACAGGCGCAGCTCCTCATGACGTGCATCTGTGACAGTAACAACAGCAAAAATCTAAGTGCAAGCACTGCTTGGGGAACAGACGAGGGACCGAGCAAAAAACGCGACGCCGTCCCTGCTTCGGCGAGTCCGCCTTTCTCTGGCGTGAAACATGCGGGTCCTCAAGGAAACGACTATAATGATCCCAGGGCCTTCCCCCAAGGCAACCTTTTCGTCCGAGGTATTCTCTGACCATCCCGGCGCCTGTGGGGGACCCTGGGGAGCCAAAAACAGCGAAAAACCTTAAGAACTGTCTCTGCCACTGCAGCCTCTTTTCGAAATTCCCTGGCATCCTCGGGGTCGAATGCGAACCCGAGGAGGCTCAGGGCCGGGCCGCTCGCCGATGCGCGGGCGGCGAGGGTGGCAAGGCAGAGCACCCTCAGCGGCGCCATGTGTGGGCGCCCTTCGCAACTGCGCACAAACGGCGTGGAGATCGGTGTCGGAAGAATACACAGACGAATAACAAACTGCGTAAACGTAAACTTTCGAACGTCCGCGCGGAATTCTTGGATCGACGCTGGACTCCGCTTCAATGGCGCGCGGGGCGCGCCACGGGCGGAATCGAGCGGAGCCGGCGCAGGTCCGAGAGATCCGCGCGGACCTTGAAATGGTCATGTCTGCGCCGCTTGCCTTCTTCGAATACATCGGGGGTTGCTAGAAGTGCCCCTGGCCCGAGGTGCCCCCTGATAGTCGCTAAATTTTGGAGCCCCTGCGGCTCTCTGAGCCTCGTGAGGGGTACTCTGGAGGCCGTGGGGGGCTCCTTGGAAAATCCTGAGGGCACCTTTGGCCAGGGGCACTTCTAGCAACACCCGAATACGCGCCGCCGTCGCGCGGCGGGAGTCGAGCCGGAGCTTCTGCGGAGAAAGAGGAGCTCTGCAGCAGCAGGACGAGCAGCAGGACGAGGAGCACTGGCGAGGAGAACGAGGAGCAGGAAGACACGGTGGGAGCATTGGATAAGGAGCCATTGGATAAGGAGCCCAGGGCCTGGAAGCCCTTGGAACACCAGCTCAAGCTTGGCCATGGAACCCTCCAGGGTCTGAAGCCTCTTGGGCACCTTCCTTAACGAGCGACCCCCCCCCGTAGGTGCAGAGGTACTGCTCGCTCGCACAGAGTGCTGCCATCTGCAGCCCAAGCGGGCTAAATATTCCACTTGCCACGCTAGTTTCGGCGTTGCACCTGCATGTTGCCACGTCGAAACAGACACGGAGCGAGGGACGAGGATGGAAGAGGCAGGGAAAATAAGCCTGGCGAAAGACCCAACCATACGCAGTTGTGAATACCGCAATTGTGAATGCCGTCTTCGCCCACGCTCCCTGTGTGGCCACGGTTTCCCGCCGGAGCCCGACATGCTCAGGGACACGTTCGCGGCCGTCTTCGCGGGCGCCGACGACGACGAGGACGGCGCCCCCCTGACCGAAGAGCAGAAGCAGGAGAGGGCATTGAGAGCCAGGAGGGAAGCTGCCACTGGCGCCTTCGGTGGAGCTCCTAGGGGGCCACGATCCTCGTGAAGGGTGTGCCGAAATAGCCCGAGGCCGCTATGCGAACCCTGCCGCTGGGGCCTTCGGTGGAGCTCCCTATGGGGCCACGGTCCTCGTGATGGGGTGTGCCGAATGGCCCGAGGCCGCCGTGCGAACCTTGCCACTGGCGCCTTCGGTGGAACTCCCATGGGCCCACGATCCTCGTCAGGAGTGTGCCGTAATGCCCCGAGGCCGCCATGCAAACCTTGCCACTGGCGCCTTCGGTGGAGTTCCCTATGGGGCCACGATCCTCGTGAGGGGTGTGCCGACATGGCCCGAGGCCGCCATGCGAACCCTGCCACTGGCGCCTTCGGTGGAGCTCGGCCACGATCCTCGTGAGGGGTGTGCCGAAATGGCCCGAGGCCGCCATGCGAACCCTGCCACTGGCGCCTTCGGTGGAGCTCCTGTGGGGCCACGATCCTCGTGAGGGGTGTGCCGAAATGGCCTGAGGCCGCCATGCGAGTTCCGCCACTGAGACCTTAGGTGGAACTCCTTATGGAGCCACGATCCTCGTGAGGGGTGTGCCGAAATGGCCCGAGGCCGCCATCCGAGTTCCGCCACGGGGACCTTAGGTGGAGCTCCCTATGGGGCCACGATCCTTGTGAGGGGTGTGCCGAAATGGCCCGAGGCCGCCATGCGAGTTCCGCCACTGGGACCTTAGGTGGAGCTCCCTATGGGGCCAGGTTTCTCGTGAGGGGTGTGCCGAAATACCCCGAGGCCGCCATGCGAGTTCCGCCACTGGGACCTTAGCTGGAGGCCACGAAACGTGTGAGGGGTGTGCCGAAATGCCCCGAGGCCGCCATGCGAGTTCCGCCACTGGGACCTTAGGTGGAGCTCCCTATGGGGCCACGAAACGTGTGAGGGGTGTGCCGAAATGGCCCGAGGCCGCCATGCGAGTTCCGCCACTGGCGCCTTCGGTGGCCACGATCCTCGTGAGGGGTGTGCCGAAATGGCCCGAGGCCGCCATGCGAGTTCCGCCACTCGGACCTTAGGTGGAGCCCCCTATGGGGCCACGATCCTCGTGAGGGGTGTGCCGAAATGGCCCGAGGCCGCCATGCGAGTTCCGCCACTGGGACCTTCGGTGGAGCTCCCTATGGGGCCACGAAACGTGTGAGGGGTGTGCCGAAATGCCCCGAGGCCGCCATGCGAGTTCCGCCACTGGCGCCTTCGGTGGAGCTTCCTATGGGGCCACGAAACGTGCGAGGGGTGTGCCGAAATCGGAGGCGCCATGCGAGTTCCGCCACTGGGACCTTAGCTGGAGGCCACGAAACGTGTGAGGGGTGTGCCGAAATGCCCCGAGGCCGCCATGCGAGTTCCGCCACTGGGACCTTAGGTGGAGCTCCCTATGGGGCCACGAAACGTGTGAGGGGTGTGCCGAAATGGCCCGAGGCCGCAATGCGAGTTCCGCCACTGGCGCCTTCGGTGGCCACGATCCTCGTGAGGGGTGTGCCGAAATGGCCCGAGGCCGCCATGCGAGTTCCGCCACTGGGACCTTAGGTGGAGCTCCCTATGGGGCCACGATCCTCGTGAGGGGTGTGCCGAAATGGCCCGAGGCCGCCATGCGAGTTCCGCCACTGGGACCTTAGGTGGAGCCCCCTTTGGGGCCACGAAACGTGTGAGGGGACATGTGCAGAGGGCCATGCGGAGGGCAGAGGCAAGGAGGGGGAGGAGAAGGAGGAGGATAGGCGAGGAGGAGGAGGAGGAGGATCGCGGGGCGCCGTCTCTTCAAAACGAGGACCCGACACGACAGGATGGTTGGAAATAAATGAGAGGAGCGGGGAGGCGGAGGAGGAGAAGACGGAGGTTACTGCAAAATGATGAGGAAGGACAATGACATGGAGAAGGGGAATGAGGAAATGCAGGAAGAAGCGGAGGAAGCTACGGAGGAGAAGGGGAAAGGGAAGAGGAGGAGGAGGAGGAGGAGGAGGAGGAGGAGGAGGAGGAGGAGGAGGAGGAGGAGGAGTGGCGGGGACAGGGAGGTGGGCGGGCAGGATGGGGGAGGAAGGGGAAATGGATGATGGAGGAGAGGGAGGAGGAGAGGAAAAGCAAAGGAAAGGGAGTAAGGAAGGGAGGGACAGGAAGAGGAGGAGGACGATCAGGAGGAAAAGGAGGAGCAGGATGAGATAGTGGAAAGTGGATGATGTCAGGACGAGCTGCATTACGAATTACGAGCACCCTGAATGGTAGCACCACCCCCTCCGTTCTTATCAGATCTCGCATGTGCACACGTGTCCCCTTATCGATAATCTATCTCCTTGGAACAGATACGCGTGAGAGCAATGCTGATATCAACAGTCTTAAGGGAGGGCATGCTTCTCGTCGGCACTCCGCCTCGCCGGGTGCCCCACGGCTCCGTGTCCGCGGGGCGCCCGGTGGCAGAGAGGACAAAAGATCAACACGGCAGTCCGATCACGGACATGCACGGACGTCCAGCAATGCGTACTGGTGCGGTTGTACTGCAAATCAGGCTGCTGCAACAATACGGAACGTCAGACAAAGCACGAAACCCCTTTCTGGCACCAAAAAATGTCTGGGTTCACGAGGAGGGCTCCAGGAACCACCACGGATTGACCGATGGAACAGCGAGCCCCTCCCGGACCCAAAGCGGTCCTTCTTACAGCGTCCTGACTGTATGACCCCATGGGCAAGACGAAAGGACTTGCTGCACGATGTCATGCGGCGGATTCCACAATGACTTAAGCAACAAAGTGCTGTCATCTTTTACTTCCGCCAGCTTCCGCCGACGTTCCGCCGCCACTTTTCTTCCGCCGGCTGCCGCGGACCTGCCGCCGCCCTCCGCCGAGGACGATGTGCCAACTCTTGGGCAGGGACCGACCATCCCGGCATCCCGATAGGCCTGCCACGAGATGCTCTTAGAACAACAAATAATCAAACAACACCAAACATGTTCTTGTAACAGAGACTGGGTGCGACAAAGCAAGACGGTCCCAGGCAGACAAATATAAAAACATGTTGTGCCAACCACAAGAGGTTATCAAAACACTCTTTGGTGGGCCCATTGGCAAGCCAGAACGATTCGCCACTGCTTGGAACTCTTGCTTTCGCCAGTGGCGAGGCAGAGGCAGTCCGCTCCAGCGTGTGGCTATTCGGGGCAACCGAACAGCGAATTGTCCGGCATGCAACAGCAAGGAGACAAGACGAGGGCGGCCGCGCGGGGGGGAGGAGAAGGAGGAGGAGGAGGAGGAGGAGTAGGAGGAGGAGGAGGAGGAGACGGAGGAGGAGGAGGAGGAGGAGGAGGAGGAGGAGGAGGAGGGGGAGGAGGAGGAGGAGGAGGAGGAGGAGGAGGAGGAGGAGGAGGAGGAGGAGGAGGAGGGGGAAGGAGGAGGGGAAAGCGCTCCCACGTGGAAGGAAGAGCTCCGCGGAGAGCGGACCGGAGCGGCCAGCCGAGGCAGCGGGGACCGTGGCGGCAGCCGGGGCCGAGGCCAGGGAGCACCCACGAGCGCGGCCAGTGCGCAGCGAACTGCCTTCACACGTGCGACGTCCTGATGTTTTCAATAATGCGGGATGACGATTAATAAACAAAATGGGAGGGAACAATAAAAAAAATAGCTTTCTGCTATTTCTGCACAACTTTCTGACTGGAGGAGAACGATTTAAAACATAGTGCTCCAGCCCGCGGCCGGTTTTTTCTAATCGTCATCCCGGGCGCCGCCGCGTGAACACGACCCCTGGTCATTTATTGATCGTCATCCTCCATTACGGGCCCCCTGGAAGTCCCGACCCTTTCCCCAGGACCGGTTTTTCATCCTGACCTGAACTTAGCTGCCCCGATACGCAACACGCAACACGTAACGTACTGATATGGAGCTCAACACGTATACTGAAAACGTAGGTGTGACGCGACACGTTCGCCAAAACGTGGGCAAATTCGCTGAGATGACACACAACGTATTGACACTGACGTTTTAAGCACGGCACGCGTTGCGTTT